TCATCATCACCGGACAACACAATCATGCTCCTGCCTCCAACTTTGGGGGATGCTTTTAAGTTGTTTCAAGAACTTTTTAAGAAAGTTACAGATACATTAGAGATCTCCCTTTCAGACAGGCCAGAGACCCAGCACAAGCTGACAAACATTCAGCTAGCTGCATTCTATCCAGCATGGTGTAATGTCAATACCAACAGGTGGGTACTGGAAATCATTAAAACTGTTTACTGCTTCCCGTTTTCAGTTCTCTCTCCCTCCCACCCCCTTGCCCATCCCTTTTCAGGGACCCCTCTACCAAACAAGAGGCAGAACACCTCTTCCAACTTGAGGGCCATAGAAAAGGTACCTCCAGAGCACCAGGGAAAGGGGTTCTTCTTCTACCACTTCCTCACTACCAAGAAGGCAGGAAATTGGAAGGCCTATTTTAGACCTTTGCAAACTCAATCGCTTACTGTGAACCCAACGATTCAAGATGGTAACCCTTGCCATTATTCCTGATTTGGAAAAGGGAGTTTGGTTGTCTACCCTCAACTTGCAGGATACCTATTTTCATATTTTGATACATCCATCACAGACTTTTCTGCGATTCACAATAGGGAACCTGCACTTCCAATACAGAGTGCTACCCTTCAGACTCTAAACAACTCCATGGGTCTTCTCAAAGGTCTTCGCAGTGGTGGCAGCTCACCTATGCAGAATGGGGATCACCATATTTCCATACTTGGATGACTGCCACTGCCTACTAAAAAGTCCCACAGTGTGTGACACAGAACAGGTAGTCAGAACCACCAGAGCCCTATTTTAGGCCTCCAGATAAATCTATCAAAGTGCGCACACACTCCTACACAGACTCTAGAATTTATAGGAGCATATCTAGACTGCAGGATAGCAATAGCCTCCATCTAGAGTGGAGGTTCACAGCAATTGTAGACCTATATCCCTAGCACAAACCAGTCTGTGCATAACAGCTCGATATTGTCTGCCTGGGATACATGGCCACAGCCACGTTTGTGCTACCATATGCCCAGGGCTCGACAATTAGGGCAATCTACTTGCCCATGGCGAGTAGATTTTAGCCCGGCACAGCGCCGCAGCGCGATCAGCGCATGCGCAGCATGGTCTGCGCATGCACAGCATGCCAAACCGTGCTGCTGGCGAGTGGGGCTCGCCGCCACTTGTCAAGCCCTGCATATGCCCACCTCCATATGAGGCCACTCCAGGCATGGTTATGCACAGCATACAGACCACATGTCCATCATATAAATAAAAGTCTCACTATGCCCTTCAAGATAAAGACCTCACTCGGACCGTTCATGACAATGTGTGGAAGGGAGTCCACTTCCAACAACCGCAAGCATCACTAACAATTGCCACAGATGCTGCACTGGTGGGATGAGGAGAACATCATGTTGTCCAAGCACAGTATGCCCCAGAGGAAACCAAACAACATATCAACCTACTCGAACTCAGGGCAGTTTGCAACTCTTGCTTACACTTCCTCCCTCTGATCCAAAACAAAACAGTACAGATACTCACAGATAGTGTCACAACTATGTACTTTATAAACCAACAGGGAGGAGCCTGGTCATACCAACTCCATCAGGAAGCAGTTTGCATACTGTTGGTGGTAACCTACCTCCCGGGCAAAGACAATTTCCTGTCAGACAATCTCAGCAGATATTTCACACAGTATCAAGAGTGGGAAATCAATTCCTCAGTGCTGACTCCTGTTTTCAAAAAGTGGAAATCTCCCCATCATGCACTTGTTCGCAATCCAGGAGAATACTCAGTGTCTGCAGTATTGGTCCAGAGCTGGGATAGGTCGCCACTCCCTAGGGGACACATTCAACATAAAATGGAAAGCACCCCTGCTATGTGCATTCCCCCCATTCCCACTTCCCTAATGGGTGATTCTGAAAATCAGATAGGACAGAGCCAGGGTCATCCTTTTAGCTCATGCCTGGCCGAGACAAATATGGTACCCATACCTCCTACAGATGAGCATAACACCACCTCATCACTTTCCACCATCATATCCTTGCTCACACAACAAAATGGGCAGATACACTATCCCATAGGCCAGAAGCTTCATCTTCATGCATGGATGCTAGCTGGTTGACCCCCATTGAGATGGCATGTCTGGAAGCTGTACAGAGAAGGTCATCATGAACTGCCATAGACCTGCAATGAGAAAAACATATAAACGAAAGTGGCACCGCTTTACAGTATGGTGCTTTGAACATAACTGAGCTCCAGCAGATATGGGTGCATCACAGATTCTCCACTACCTATTAGGCCTACAGCAGAGTGGCTTATCCCTAAGCTCTATCAAAGTACACATTGCTGCCATTGCAGCTGTACATCCCCCACTACAGGGTTACTCCACCTTTACTCACCCGTCCATAAAATGATTCCTCAGGGGTTTACACAATATATTTCTGCCAGTAAGAAACCCAATGCCTGCATGGGTCCTTAACCTGGTGCTCAGGACTATTACATGCAAACCCTCTGAGCCCCTTGCTACCTGTTCCGTACTGCATCTATTGATGAAGGTCACCTTCCTACTCGCAATTACCTCCACACAAAGAGTAGGCGAGTTGGGAGCTTTGATATTGGACCCTGCCTCCCCCGACACAATTTTTCATACAGACAAAGTGGTCCTTCATACACACCCCAAGTTTCTCCCAAAAGTACTTGCCTCATTCCATTTCAATGAACCCATATACTTACTGGTCTTCTTCCCAAAACCCCACAAGGATAACAGGGAGGTGGTGCTGCATATCTTAGACATCCTCAGAACAATTGCATTCTACTTACAATGCACAAAATCCTTTCACAGAACTCTGTAACTCTTCATCTTATCTACAGAGAGATCACAAGGATTGCCCGTTTTGAAACAAAGATTATCCAAACGGATCTCAGGCTGTATACACGTGGCCCATGCTATGTTTCAGAAGGAGACCCTATTGACCATACGAGCTCACTCTGCATGAACAATGGCAGCGTCAACTGCATTTCTTTGGGGCGTACCAATGGAGGAAATCTGCAAAGCCACCAAATGGACCGTGGTGCACACATTCAAGCAGCATCAGGCCAATTCAAACTTTTGCAGCCTCTGATACCCAATTCAGCTGAACAATACTCTCAGTCACCGATTCACATCTCCCAAAACACCAACCACCGAGTACAACTACTGCTTTGTAATCACCTAAGGTGGAGCACTCATGGGAACATTCCTCAAAGAAGAAGGGAAAGTTACTCACCTGGTGCAATGAGTGGAGTTCTTTGAGATGGTTGTTCCCGTGGGTGCTCTAGCACCCACCCTTCCTCCCCTCTGCTTCAGACACATCTGTAGTCAGCTCAGAGAAGGAACTGAAGTGACAATTGACTGTGAATGCAGAATATCAAATGTCGAGCGCCAGCAGTTCCACATGTGCAGCCGACCATGGGTACTGCTACCAAAAATCTCTTATTAGAGGCACAGCGGCACTCAAGCAGCTAAGGTGGAGCACCCATGGGGGCAACCTTCTTGAAGAACTTACAGAGTCTGAGTGGAGCAAAAACCATTAATAAAAGGAGGGAAGTAATTCAGCATTGATTTGGGAAAACACCACAACTAGGATTCATAAATATTAACCCTGATCCAAAAGACCCACTTTCAAGTAAATTGGGCAGTGTTCTTTCCCTGCAGGTTCTTAAGTCTAAGCAAGCCAGAAGTCCCTTTAATGCAGTGGCACTAGAACAATTTTAAAGTGGGGTGCTGAGTTAGGCCCCAAATTACACTTGTTTCATGCCCCTCCAATGGTTGCCAGCTCTCCTGGACTGGACAATTGGATGACATTCTTGGCAATGGCGTCCAGTCCGGGAGCTAAACCAGAATAAGGCTAGTTGGATGAAAAAAGCAGTGTATGTGAATATGTCATGGGTATTGCAATGCAGCAAAAGTAAAAAAGAAGTAAAAGGTCATGTAAGGTGTCTAAGGACCCAGTCCTGTCCTCCTGCTTGAATGTGCACAGACTGCCATTCTCCCTAATGGAGCTACTTGCTGGCCTGGGGCCTAAGTGCATAAAGTTATGCTGGAAATGTTACCTCTACATCAGTGTAAGTACTCAAGAGTACAAAAATGCATTGCAAAATGCTACACACACACACACACACACACACACACGCAATTGTAGAAAAATTGTGTAGTGATCTATAAAATATGAAAACCAGTATGTGAGGATTCAAAGTAATATCCCAAGGCACTCATAAAAGAGGCAGAGTTAAGATTGTGTATGCAACTAGCTGAGACTAATAATATATGGAGATATACCTATCTCATAGAAGTGGAAAGGACTTTGAGAGGTTGTTGAGTCCAGTCCTTTGCCCTCATGGCATGACTAAGTATCAACCCTGTCAGATTTGTCCCAGATGCCTACATGGCCCCTTCAAGGATTAACCTCACAACCTTGAGTTTAGCAGGCCAATGCTCAAACCACTGAGCTATCCCTCCCCTGGGGTACTGACAGACAACTATATATTTTATTGTCTGTTTGTTTATTTGTTTATATCTCCACTAACCGCAACTGAGTGATTGATTACATTTTAATTTTGTAATTTTTTCTAAGGGATGAATAAAGAGATTTTTATTATAAATCTAAAGAAAGAAATTGTCCTGACTTGAGTGGCTTAGCTATACAATATTACGGTCTTTAAAGGGCTTTTTTGAAATGTTTTGGAACAATAATACATATCACAAGGAAATTAGTAAGTTTAACAAATAATGTTTCCATATCAGCCAATAGCATACAAAACCATAATGGCTGAAAAAAGGTCTTTGTGAAAGTAAAACTGGAAATGTGACTTTGTTGTACTAATTTTCACTTCTTCAAAAGGGAATATGTCTGCTTAGAACTCTGAATGCCAGATTCTAAATGACTGTACATAAGATCAATGCGATAATATAAAGTTTGCCGGTTATACTATGCTTTAACCATTTTATTGTTTTGTCTTTTTAGAAGCGCCTGACAAAGAAAAGCAGTAGTCGGTCTAAAAATTAGAAGGGAAGAGATTTTTTTAGCAAAACACCAGATATTGGAAGTTTGAAAAAGCAATGTTTTTCTTATCAGTTCAGCTAAAATAATTTGTGAAAACCTGATGAGATAGTGGTGTTCAAAACACCCAATTACATGGCATTCATACAGAATTTACTTTTTTTTAAACTATCAGTTTATTGTGTTCTATTCCAAATTTTAATTTGAATAAATAGGTTTTGCCCTTATTTATGCTTCTTTCTTTATTCGTGTGTCTCCTCAGTACTTCATACAATCTGATCGTAATTCTAAGATAGTCTTGTCCTGTGTCTCTAGTATTTATCCCCAGAATTCTCTATCTCTAGGAAGCAGAAACTTTGTTGTTGTTCTTCAGTGCTTGCACATGTGCATTCCATTATTGTTGTGTACACACTTAATTGCACAATTTATAAGAAAACTCTCCCTCACTGGTACCCATCTGGATGACTTTTGCACCCTCTGTTGCATCATGCCACTGCATACTGGCCCCCCAGCAAATCCTCCCTCCGTTCCTTCTTTTCCTTAGTCATGGTACATGAAGCAATCTCAAATTTGTAATATGTGCTTTATGTGCTTTCCTCTCTCCTTTGTGTGTTTGGGAAGGTGTACATGTGTGTGATCATGAGAGTATGTGAGATTTAAGTCACCCACACAAAAATAGAGTGGTAGAAATGTAGCCGTGCTAGTCTGGTGCAGCTGAAACAAAAAACAGGACTGTGTAGCACTTTAAAGACTAACAAGATGGTTTAATAGGTGATGAGCTTTCGTGGGCCAGACCCACTTCCTCAGATCAAATAGTGGAAGAAAATTGTCACAACCATAGACTGTTTGGGGAATGGCAGAAACTATTCCTGTCAAATTCACAAAGCAACTTGTAGGGACGGTCTGTGAGTTAATGATATTAGAGGTGATAATTGGGGAAGCTGTCTTTGTAATGGGTAAGATAATTAGAGTCTTTATTCAGACTTAGGCGTAAAGTGTCGAATTTAAGCATGAATGACAGTTCAGAGGATTCTCTTTCAAGTGAAGTCTTAAAAGGTCTTTGAAGCAGGATGCAGATAATCAAGTCATTGAGACAGTGTCCTTTCTGGTTGAAATGGCAAGAAACTGTTTTTTCTTTGTGATCCTGTCCGATATCTGTTTTGTGGGCATTGATCCTTTGGCGAAGTGTCTGAGACGTTTGTCCAATGTACATAGCAGACGGTCACTTTCGGCACGATAGCATAAATTATATTTCTGGATGCGCAGGCATATCTGTTCTTGATCTTATAACTCATTTGGTTGGGTCCAATAATGGTATCAGCAGAGTGAATATGTGGACAAAGCTGGCAACGGGGTTTGTTGCAAGGGAAGGTATTAGTGTGGTATGTCCTGTGGTTGTTGGTAAAGTGTTGACTGAAGGAGGCTCTGTGAAAACAGGCTCTTTTCTGGCCAGGCCTCATGCGCATAGCCTTCCTAGCCCAAGTTTACCTTCCCCTCAAACCAAAAATCCTGCACTATGTGAGTTAAAATCAGTAAAAACCAGGAGTAAGACACCAGGCAGGTAAAGGTTGTACAAAGTTTGCGCCACTCTAGGGCCATCTCACCCCCTCCCCTTCCCCCTCAGCCTGTCACTAGGCAGACTGAATCTGTCAAGCCTATCACAATTAGGCGCGGGAAAGCTCTTGCTCTCTCTATAAAACAGCTACCCCTCCTGCATGCAGTTGAGGGTTCCCGAACACTTGGAAGGCAGAACACGAGCCAGGTTCTGAGGGCTGATCACCTGAGAACCCCCTCCCGCTCACCGAATCTACCGAATCTTTTGCAGAGCGTAACGAATATGCTGTTGTCTATGTTGTCCCTTGTATGTCTGATAAGTGTGAGTATTGCTGTGTAAAGTTAGTTAAAGGTTTGATAAATAATAGTGTTAAGAGTAAGTTAGTTAGAAGTTTGTTAAATAGTATAGTTAGGAGTTTAAATAGATGTTAAACCTCATGAGTGAAATTAATGTAAATATAACTGATAAAAATCCCTGGGCTGTTATTGATAATTACTTAGACTTAGAGAAACCCCAGGGCATTTTCCTCTATTGTATTGCAGTTTGTTTGTTGTTACTGTTAATAATTATCTGGTGCCCACGCATGTAAAAAGTTGATAAATAAAAAGTTATAGTTAAAAGCATTTTAATAAAAGTTAAAAATATTCGATACAAGGCTGCCTGTTTCTGCACCTCTCTGGGGCTGGCCACATTCTCGAACCTTCCATTTTACTTTCCACAGGCTCATCTTCTCACACTCATCTCACAGGGAGAGCATCCTTAATACATCAGCTAAAGTATAAAGTGGCTCACCAAAGTTGTCTGCAGCGTCTCTGTCCTTGTCACTGATTCTGAAAAAAGGTATAAGCCCTCCTCAGTTGAGGTACCTTGCTATGGTGTGTCAGTACTGAAGTCAAGTAGGAGCAGAGACTCTACAAGACATTCAGGTGAGAGTGTGTCACTGGAGCACTCTTTAACTAAATAGAAGGGATTTCCCACCTCTGGCAAAGGTGCCAGGTCTTTCAAAGGCATACCCTGAAAGAACTCTGTGACACAGCCATCAGTCATTGCCATACCTCAGGGTTTCGTCTGCACTGCAGGCTTTTTGCGCAAGAACTACTCTTCTTGCGCAAAAACTTGTGGAGCGCCTGCACTGCACGTGTGTTCTTGCACAAGTAAATTTACAGTAAAGCATCGGAAAAGAGGGCTTCTCATGCAAGAGTTATTCCTCTCCCCATGAGGAATAAGTGTAGGGGTAAACTGAGGCAGTCCATGGTATTCTGCTAAGAACTCTCCTAAACAAATCCTAAAATTTGAGACAAGGCCTGGGAACACATAGACTAAGCAGCTAACATGACCCTGGTCACCCTGACAACCACATTCCAAAGAGCCTCACTCCGATAAGACCCTGGCTGGTACCAAAACAAACTTCATGGAAGTCGTTCTCACTGTCGTCTTTAATTCTAGATAATAAACCTGGATCCCAAGGACTGCACCAACACAAGGCATTATCGCCCCGTAGTAGACGCATCATAATTTCAACAGACAAAGTTGCCTTTAAAATGCTTGTCTTGTTTATGTTGGCTTATTTAGCTTGTTAGGAATAATTACCTGTATTATTGATAAGATGTTTAATTTGCAATGGGCGGAGATGCTGTGTAACCTTCATAGTTTATTGGCTTATGTGCTCATTACGTCTTGCCACCAGACCCTATCAAATCTCTTCCATTCCGCCCATCTGCTGCCTATATAATCTACTGTAATGTTTTCATTAACTAGTGTTCACCAGGTTAACCCCTGAGGGACACTCCACCAGCTGGTGTATAATAAATCCTCAGCTTGTTTTCACCTGCTAAGAGTGTCCAGAATTATTCCCTACAATAAGCGCTCTTGCGCAAGGGGCAGTGTGGATGGGAACAGGGGTTTCTTGTGCAAGAAAGCCCTATGGCTAACATGGCCATCAGAGCTTTCTTGCGCAAGAGTGTTCGCACCCCCATGGACGCTCTTGTGCAAAAGCACGTCTTGCAAAAAAGCACATGGCAGTGTGGACGCGCTCTTGCACAAGACCTTTTGTGCAAGAACTCTTGCGCAAAACAGTTATTGCGCAAGAAGCCTGCAGTGTAGACATAGTCCAGAAGTATATACAGCTATATGGGACCTAATTAACTTCTAAGTACCAGTATCTGTGGCAGTGTAGGAAGGCTTACAGCTGATACTGAAACCTGCAGCTCCTACCTCATCGCACGAAGAACCTGTGGTAACATTGCTTCCCCAAGATTCTGAAAAGACTAGTGCAGTTGAAAGGCAAATCTCTGAAAATATCTCTGGCAACCACCATCACCAAGTTCAGGCTACAAACAGGTCCCGACTCATTCTGCCCCCTTCTGTCATTCATTCTGAATTCTGCTTTAGACTCAGAAATGCGTTTATCTGTGACTTATCCAAGAAACAGACCATACTGTCCATCAGAGACATGGGAACCATGGGTTATACAGGAGTCTGGCAATGGGGCAGTGGCCTGGTAAAGGATGAATCCCAGGCCCAAAGCAGTGGTCATTCTAGATCTCCTTCTCCCATTAGAGTCTCCTTGTGTTATGCTTAGAAGCACATGGAATCTTTTTCAGGAGACAAGGCAATATGCTATGTTTATTGAGAGTACAATGCAAAACTTAGCATATACATATAGATACACACACGTACACACAAAATCACATGCACACACACAGTCCTGCCAATGATGTTATAATTACCAGTCTCAGGCTCAGACCAAGTTACTGGCCAGTTAGGCTGGACGTAAATGGTGGGGGGAACTGGATTCTGTCAGTCACAATCTGATTCTCCAAGGCTTGGCAGGATGAACCCACCACAGTTCCATGGCAGAGCATCCCATTTTGATAGTAGTTTGTTCCCATTCAGATTTCTGGGTTTTGCACAGCCATACTGTACTTACTTACTTTTAACAAGTGCTTATTTTAGGGGTTTTGTTCGTATGTTTGTTTTTGTTTGTTCATTCTTTATTTGCATTTTAGATTATGTTTTCAGGGAGCTGTCCCATACTGGTTTCACTCAGGTCATCTTATTTTGTTCCCAAGGGGGTGCATCCTTCATTTCCAGGGTCATCAATCTGTTCTTATCACAATAGATCTATGGCAGGGGTGGGCAATAATTTTTTGCCAGGGGCCACTTCAGAAATTTTTGAAGTGGCCCCAGGGCTGCGCGGGAAGAGGCAGGGCCTCAAGCGAAAGGGGCAGGGCCATGATACTTACCTGCTTCCCCACCCACAGACCATGATTGGTCTGGGGCTGAGGGGGGGGGAGCACCTTTGTCCCCCCCAGAGGTTCCCCCTAGGCACCCAGGCCCCTGGTGGTGGGAGGAGACTTTGCTCACTCTCCCTTTGCCCCCAGGCCCATCAGGCCTTGGAGGTGAGGGAGTGCGCAAAGTCTCCCCCCACCCTGCCAGGAGCGCTTGGGATGGGAGCAGGGTGGAAAGAAGCTTTGCATGCTACCCAATCAGGGACAACCTGCCCGTTACTAGCTTCTGTACTTACCTTGGACCAGGGGTGGGCAAAAGGGCCTCTGTGGGCTGGATCCAGCCCACAGAGGCCCTTTTGCCCACCCCTGGTCCAAGGTAAGTACAGAAGCTAGTAACGGGCAGGTTCAACAGAGTCCCAAGAAATTACCCAGCTAGACAAGCTGGCTTCCCACTCCTTGGAGTTAACATTGAACCAAAGACTCAAAGATCTCCTCTTGACAAATGTTTTTTTCTGCATCACAGACAACCTCCAGACCCCTGGAATTTGGAATTGGTCTTAGACAGCTTAATACGTCCACCATTTGAACCCTTGGCCACATGTGATTTCCGTACCTTAACTATGAAAGTTGTATTCCTTCTAGCAATTACATTGGCTCGCAGAGTGGGGGAATTAGCGGCCCTTTCAGCTACTTCCCCTTACACCATCTTTACGGCACAGCGAGTCATGTTACGTTCCCAACCATCATTTTTGCCCAAAGTTAACTCTTCTTTTCACATAAACGAACCAATTATTCTCCCCATATTCTATCCCAAACCACATACTTTGGAACATCACTCAAGACTACATTCCCTTGATGTTCACAGGGCCTTAGCCTTTTACATAGAAATAACTTGTGATTTCCAGAAGTCCCATCACCTACTAATTTCATTGGATGACCGTTCCAGGGGCCGCTCACTGTCCGCACAGCGAATTTCCAAAATAATTGTTTTTTGCATTATGCACTGCTACAAATTAAGGCTTGTTCCAATTCCACGAACCATAATGGCCCATTCTGCTAGGGCAATGGCCTCCTCAGCAGCTTTCCTCAAGGGGGTTCCCATAAAAGACATTTGCCAAGTGACCACCTGGTTGTCCAGCTACACTTTTGCAAAACACTACATGCTACAAAACATTCTCATGACAGATGCAGTAGTAGCCACTGCAGTACTTTCCTCAGCAGTAACTTATTGACACCAGAACCTGCCACCTTCACTCCGGCTAATGCTGTGGAATCACCCACAGTGAAGCACCCAAGGGACACTCCCCGAAGAAGAAGAAGTTACTCACCTTGTGCAGTAACAATGGTTCTTCGAGATGTATGTCCCCGAGGGTGCTCCACAACCCGCCCTCCTCCCCTCTTCAGAGTCTGTTGTTCATGTCTTCCTGGCTTCGACGATCAGGAGGAACTGGTAGAGCCAGACCGTGCGACTGGAAACGGTGCAAAAAAACCGCAAGATGGCCACCACGCATGCGTGGTCTGACAGACAATGGCTAAAAGATCTCCGCTCTGTGGTGCCAGGACAAGCCCGACACCCACAGTGGAGCACCTACGGGGGCACACACCTTGAAGAACCATTGTCACTGCACAGGGTGAGTAACTTCTTCTTCTGCCACCATGAGTCTGGTCAAACCCTTTCTTTCATTCAGTGACTTTCAGCCCAAGAGTTTCAGAGACCATGAGATGTAGTAACAAGAGAGTGGAACAGGCAGCGAAGGGACGGGGCAGGTACTGAGGCAGCTGGCAGGGAAGAGGCGGGGCTAGTACTGAGGCAGTTAACAGGGAAGGGGCGAGGCTAGTACTGAGGTAGCTGGCAGGGAAGGGACGGGGCTGGTACTAAGGTAGCTGGCAGGGAAGGGACGGGGCTGGTACTAAGGTAGCTGGCAGGGAAGGGACGGGGCTGGTACTAAGGTAGCTGGCAGGGAAGGGACGGGGCTGGTACTAAGTGAGCGGGCAGGGAAGGGGTGGGGCTGTCACTGAGGCAGGGAGGGGTGGGGCTGGCACTGAGGTCACAGAAGCAGAGTGAGTGGCGCTGCTACTGAGGCAGTTGGTAGGGATGGATGAGGGTGGGACTGGCACTGAGGCAGCAGTGGGGGGAAAAGCAGGGCTGCCACTACAATAACAGGACCCAAGACGGTGGGGCTGGCACTAAGACAGCTGGAAGGGAAAGAAAGGGAAGGGGCTATCACTGAGGTAATAGGAGCCAAGTAGGCGGGGCTGGCAGTGAGGTACTAGGAGCAGAGTGGGCAGGGCTGGCGGTGAGGTAATAAAAGCAGAGTGGGCGGGGCTAGCAGTGAGGTAATAGGAGCAGAGTGGAGCAGGGAGGGGTAGGGGTTGGGCTGGCACTAGGGCAGTAGAGCGGAGAGGGAAGGAGATGCTGTCTCAGCACATGCTTGGTGGGTGTCTGTGAAGATCCGTGGGGGATGGGGATGCAAATCTGTGCTCTGCTCCTGCTGCTGCTGAGCCCAGGTGAGGCAGGGAATGAGTCGGACAGGGATGCCATAAGGAGGAGGTGATTGGGGCCATACTTGCAAGACAGAGGTCTTGCAGGGAAGGGAGAGTCAAGGAGCAGAGGAAGGCTGTGAAGGAAAACAGGGCCAGAATGGAAGGAAGAGCAGGACTGGGATACATGAAGGGGAGCAGGGGCTTGAGGGAAGGGGGAGAATGGAGTCTTGGGGGCAGCAGGGAGCCCTGTAGGACAAATCAGGGGAGTAGGAAATTTGTGAAGCTGGAGCAGGGCCCACAGAGGGGAGATTCAGGAAGTGCCAGAGTGGGCCTGGTAGCAGTTTCTGCTAAAAGCAGGTTAGGGCCCAGAATCAGGGCTGAGACAGGAAAGGGCTATGGCCCTGAGGGCTCATAGGGCCAAACTGAGAAGGGGGGCAAAGAGCCTTTTGGGGGCAAGGTAAAAGGGAACACAGACCATTAAGGCGTAGGATCAAAGAATGGGAAGAAAGGGGTCTGAGGTGGGGGTGATGAGCTGTGAAGTGTTTGAACCTGGAGCAGGGTACCCTGAGCAATGTTCCTTCTAATCTTTTCTGTCCATATGCAGAATAAATTTTACGTGTGAATGTGCACCACCACTGAAACAAAAAACCTAGCTGTGAGTGCTCTGCCAATCAGCTGGTGGCGTTAGAATCTCTCCTGAGCATAGCTTCCAGGGAACACTGTGGCCCTGAGCACCAGTTGGAAAGGGGCAAGCTGCCGCAGGGAGAGGGCTGGTTGGAAAGCAGCTGATGTGACCTCTTACGAGGCTAGTGCTTGACTGGTGTGTGAGAGTGGGGCTGCCTCCTGAGAGTTGTGGGGCAGGCTGGGACTTTGCTTCTGCTCTTGGTCAGCTCAGATTGCATGGGAAAGGGAAAGCGTTGCCTTTCCCTGAAGGAAGGGCCAATGTAGCATTGCAGGGGGAAGGGAAGAGGGGCAGTGACGCTGGAAGCAAGGACTGCTGGGTGGGATTCAGAGAGAGGCAGCACAGAGAATGAGGAATCGGGCCCACTGA